CTGCTCTGCAAAATACCATAAATAATTGCCTTGAGGCAGAGCAGCTGTTCTGTAAACTTTCATGAGGGAATTACCATCCAGCTGTCTAGAAAAGAAAATGGTATTTACTTTCTTGATAATTTTTATAGTGGTATCAGTATTTGTAACATGATAATTTGCTGTGAAAATGAGTTTGTTTCTGGATTCTTCATTTTTTAAATTGTCAAATTAATATACTAAAGTTTAATTAGGAAATTTCCATAACAAACCATCTTTCTCTATGTTGGGATGGCCTGTCTCACTTCTACACTGATCTCTCTAGGTTGGCATTAAAATTAATGCTACGAGAATTTAATTTTATAGAAATGATGCTGTTTTTAGGAGCCATCCAAAAGGTCAAGATGGTTATGATGATTACACAATTGAAACTTCATTCCTTTTAATGTATATCACACATATGAAAAAGTGTGGAGGATTGAATTTTTGTGGGTGTGCTTACTATGTTAACTTTTTAAGCTCTTCTCCCAGTAAAAAATTTCCCTGCCATTTTTTTAGGTAGAGGATAATGGTTTTCAAATTTCCAGGTACGAGTGTAAAATGATAAGGTGATAAAATAATCAGGTGATTAGACAATAAGACATGCTACCAGAAGTTTTACCAATCTTGACTGAATAATAATATTTAAAAGTAAGAGGAAACAGAAAAAAATAGAAGTGGAGAGAGAGAAAAGGAAGGGAAGGGCAAACTATTTATCTAAAGTGCAGCCTTCCTAGCCCAGTGACCTCCAGATGCATTGCAAGCACTCTTCTGCTCCTTTCATTCTCAACAAATAACTATTCTTAACATTTTTGAAACACATCAGGTTGGTACAGGCTATTGTACTTAACTGACTTCAGGGTCTATCATCTCATTTGATTAATCTAGGTTTTTAAATTTTGATACTTTGGTGTAAATGATGACCGCATAAGAACTGTAAAAATATCATATTTTGAAATTAATTGCATAATTGCAATAATAATGTTCATGCATAGTTTCTCCCATTTCTGTAACTTGGACTTGAAGGGACTGGAAAAATATTTTATGGGGATTTAAATTTTTTTCTTTCATCTGAAATTTAAACAACCAGCCAATGCCTCTATCTAAGTACATGTGTTCTGATATCTGTTAAGTATAGATGCTATATACTGCCCATAATGTAGACATATAAATTTGATAAATGAACAAACATACAAAGGCCCGTAGCAACATATAGTCAGATTCTTCACCAGGTTGCAAAAAGATCTACAATGCAATAGTCCTAAAGTAAGGCGTAATTACATGAGGAGCAAGATAGACACATTCCTTTTGAGGTCTGCCCATGCTTGCTCTTGTTGCACTTCATCTATTAAAGTTTTCATCTCCCTTAAAGACATGAATTTTACTATAATAGATCAAATAGAAGAAACATCTTCCAACTAGAACCAAGATTTTACTAATCAGGTAATTAATTTTTGTAACTCTTTATTAATCAAGTAACTGATGACTATTTTCCTTTTTTTTTCTCTTCAGCAAAAGGTCATGAAACTTTTTGGGGCTGTAATTTTCTAAGTTCTATAAGCTGTAATTTTCCAACTTTAGCCCTTTGTTTTTAGAGTAAGTTGATGCTTTTTTTGTTTGTTTTTTTGGCTCACTCACACTTTTTGCTGAGTTAGCTTACTGTGACCTGAAAGTTTCTAAAACCACAAAGCTAAGAATATAGAGCAAGTTGGGGAAAGCTAACTCTTCTTAAAATGTGCTGTCGGCCTTTGTTTGGAAGGGAAGTTTATGTTTCTCTTTTTGCTGCTTAAAAAAAAGATCCTAAAAGTGCTTAACTTTTTTTTTTTTAAAGATGGTGTCTCAGAACTCATATTTTCTGAGCTGAAAGCATACAACTAGGCAGAAATCTTGCTAAGAATTTTCTTGGAAAAAAAACAGTTTAAGACAAGAAAGTTAATTATAGCATTAGTCATTACTGGAAATTTGAACTAAAACATCAAGTAAAACATTATGAGAGTATATATTTATTTGCAATCAAAGTACGATATATCATTCTCGTTAATTGTCCCTACTCTCAGCATACTAACGTAGTCATTCCTTTCCAAAATGTTTGATTACAGATGTGGGACTATTGAATCTAGGATTTCCCATATCAAGACCTCAAAGATCTTTTTTAACCCCATTCTATGTTCTAAGGCTCTATTTCGTATTTATTTATTCTTCTTTTTACCTTTTATTGTCATTGTAAATCTTGATACATTGTATTGTTTCAATGTAAATTTCAATACAGTAATATTTAATATAATTGACAATTATGATAATTCTACTATTAGAACAGGGGTGTCAAATTCAAGGCCCGGGGGCCAGATCTGGCCCACAGTATGCTTATATCTGGTCCGCAGGGCCATTCTGGAAACAGCAAAGAACCAGTCTGCAGTGTCTCTGCCAGGAAAAATGGAGGTCAGGAGGGTTGCCCAAGCTCTATTTTCTCTGGCAGAAAGTTGCAGGAGGCCATCACAGCCAAAAACGGAGCTCGGGAGACTGTTTTCACTGGCAGGGCACCCGGGCCACCACAAGTGCCCCTGACACGAGTGACATTGAGCTAGCCACACCCACCCTGGCCACAAACACCCCAAGGTCAAACAGAACCCTGATGTGGCCGTCAATGAAATTGAGTTTGGCACCCCTGATTTAGAATTTCAATTATTGAAAATAATTAATTATTGAAGATAAAAATAAAATTATATCAGTATTAATTGTAGATAATCAATCAGAATATAGCTTTGAGGTCTTCAAGTCCAAAAACCTGCTCAAGTGGTTCCCTACTTAGATGACATCCTGATCGCTGTCTGCAGTCGATCAGGGCTCATTGAAGTCCTTCGGAAGGTCCGCAACGTTTCAGGGTCGTGGGCTTAAAATTGAAGCGCAGCAAATGCGAATTTGCTGTCCCCCAAGTAGAATTTTTGGGATTTCGTATCGATGCACAGGGCATCCATCCCACTCCCTCTAAAGTAGCAGCCGTCAGGAACGCCCCCACTCCCACCTCTAAGGCGGAGCTGAAGGCGTTCTTCGGTTTTTAAAATTTCTATGCGCCATTTCTTTTGCACAAGGCATCACTTGCCGAGCTACTGCATTGGTTTCTCGACCGATCTGTGGTGTGGTGCTGGTGCAGCTGTGAGCCGCATGCGTTCGTGGTTGTCAAAGCTATGCTTATGTCAGCAGCTGTTTAGTCCAATACAGTGACAAGCTGCTGCTGAGATTAGCATGTGATGCCTCCCCTTTTGGTGTGGGGGCAGTTCTGATCCATGTCCTCCCCAATGGCTCAGAAGCCCTTATAGCTTTTTACTCCTGGACACTCTCCTCTGCTGAGAGGAACTACAGCCAGATCGACAAGGAGGCTCTGGCTGCTGTGTACGGGATTAAAAAGTTCCATGGTTATCTCTACGGATGACATTTCACTCTGTACACCGACCACAAGCCTTTCCTTGGACTTCTGGCTGGTAACTGTCCGACCCCTCCCATTCTAATCCCCTAGGATGACCCTTTGGATGGAGTTCCTCACAGTATACTCGTATACACTGCAGTACCGTCCGGGCAAGCAGCTGGGGCAGGCAGATGCCCTCAGCCGTTGCACTCTCCCTGACTCTGACCTTAGCCTTGTTCCATCAGCTTCTGTCCTGTCCATTGCCTCTTTGGACTTGCTGCTCACCTCCTCTGACGTAGTGGCCCACTCCTTAGCAGATGCCATCCTGTCCCAAGTGTTCACTTGGGTTCAGAGAGGGTGGCCTTTGGGCAAGGTGTCCGAGGATTTCCGCCCCTTCAAGACCCACCAACTGGAGCTCTCCCTCCACAGTGGGTGCTTGCTCTGAGGTGACAGGGTCATCATTCCTCCCTCCCTCTGCCACCAAGTGCTTGACCGCTTCCACCAGGATCACCCAGGCATAGCTCGCATGAAAGCCTTGCCTTGCAGTTATGTCTGGTGGCCCAGGATGGACGAGGACATAGCAACTTGTGTGGGCCACTGCATCTCCTGCCAGGAATCCTGCCCTGCTCCCCCTGCTGCACCTGTTAGGGACTGGGAGCTTCCCAGGGGACCCTGGTCGAAGCTCCATTTGGATTTCATGAGTCCCTTCCATGGTCAGAACTTTCTGGTGGTCATGGACGCCTACTCGCATTGGGTGGAACTCATGCTCATGCCATTTACTACTGTAGAGTCTACCACATGGGGCCTATGACATCTATTTGCAATCCATGGGTTGCCGGATACCATCTTGACCTATTTGAGCGATTACACATGCGTCACTGCCGTACTTGCGTCCTCGCTGGGGGGGGGGGGGCAGAAGTGTTGAGTCCTCGATTTGTGATCGATCCTAAGTCCTTGAGTTATGACTGGCCGCAAGTCCTCAACTTACGATTGACAGCCGGCAACAGCTCAGCCACGCCTGATTGGCTAAGGCACGGCTGGCTAAGTGCTGTCTGCTTCGTTCCCATTGGTTGCCCTGCTTGACAGCTCCAGTATAAATAGCTGTCAAGCTGGGTGAGGTTCTGAATCATCTATTCTATTGTTGAGTTCTGTTAAATAAACGCTGTTCAACTTACCTCAGCTGTCTCACGTCTTCTCAATCGATCCAGAATTTAATATCAGCCCTCTCCAAAATTGACATTTAACTATTCAGGGGTTTTATCCATTCTGTTGTCTGTGTTAGGCAGCTTGCTTCCTGATATAGTTTTAGATTTGGAAGATCCGAAGACCAGCTCTCTCTTTGGTGTCTTGTACACATTTTGTTTCACTCCGTGTCGTTTCCCATTCCATATTAATTTACTAATAGTTTTTTTGCCGTATTTATTGTCTGCTTCTAACTCTGTGCCAAGACCAAATTTAGATGGCTTCATTTGTGAGGTATTTGGGGATATGTGTCAGGTAGTTGATACTGAATGGTTTTCTGTATTTGAACCTTCAGTAGCGATAGTAATATTTGTTGGTGGGTTTTTTTGTATTTTCTCAGACTCTGGGATATTCCTCATCTATAACAATGGTCTGCAGAGCTGCTTGGAAACAAAGGATTCTTTGGTGAAAATTTCTAAAATCTGTAATACAAGTCTTCCTGCTCAGAAGTGGAAATGGGTTTCCAGGAATCGGCTTTTCAACATTGGAAACATGCAGTGCTTGGGAGTCTCCTGGAAGTCTGCAAACAGTAGTGCCACTACCCATGCATTGGCCACTTATGAATGTAGCAGTGAATCTGTCAACATGCGGTGGAACTGTCGGAGTCTAGGGGACCAGCTTTCCCAGTATTTGAGCTCGAGGTTGGGGAACTGGTCACTGACACCAGCTGAGAGAGGTGACCAGGCTCGTGGAGGACAATGGAAGATCTATGGAAATGATGAAGATTTGTGCTCTAGGCCATACTCTGGTAAAACCCACATTAGAAGACTGAAAAATTAATGTTGTTGTTTCCTATCATTGCACATGTCATAATTAAAAATGTTATTCTGCACTATCCAAATTTAATATCTTTTAGATATTTTTATTATAATTATAAGCAAAAAAAAAACACCAGATATCATTGACTCTAATGAGTACAGGTTAATGCTTATGAGTTCAAGTTGTGTAATTTAGCATTTTTACTTCCAGTAGCCATCTGCCATTTGCATCTTGAAAATAGAGCAAGATGGTGATAGACAGCATTAAACTTTCATTGTCCAAGCATTATCAGATCATTGCTATAGCAACTAAAGGGTAGTTTCTGGACTTTGGATGTTCCCAAAAATCCCTTAATTTTAGCCCTGGCTAGCTAGAGTTACTAGGAACTGCACTTTAGCAATATCTGTAGGATTTATAGGTAGCCAATCCTCACTATCTGGCTTATATGATAATATACTACTTAACTTATTTTAGTAAAGGTAGTCTGTATTGGTTGTTACAGCAACATATTATTAGTTAGTTTATACAGTAAATTTTTACATTTATTATAGGAGGAAAGTCACTTTCAATCCACCTTGATCATATTCACTTTAGTTATCTAGTAATGAGCAACATTTGTTGAAAGTTCATTATAAATCTTAGAAAGCAAATATGGAAAACTTGCCATTTCTCTGATCATAGCTTTCCTTGAGAGACAAACAAAATACAAAACCAACAATCTGTCACCTGTTTTCACTGATTTTTCTTAAACTGAAATGGAAAGAAAACCCATCATAAATTCGAACTAATCTGTTCAACAGTAATTGGAATTAAATTAAGATTGTTTGTTCAAGAATGCTACCAATCATATTCTAAATCTGTGGAAATAATACTTTAAAAATATTTGCTTCCTTGTTAAATTCTAGTTTTGATAGTGTAGATCAGTGTTTTTCAACCACTGTGCCGCGGCACACTAGTGTGCCGTGACATAGTGTAAGGTGTGCCGTGGGAAAATTACTTTATATATAGTCAATATAGGCACAGAGTTAATTTTTTTTACATTTTCTAATGGTGGTGTGCCTCGTGATTTTTTTCATGAAAAAAGTGTGCCTTTGCACAAAAAAGGTTGAAAAACACTGGTGTAGATACACTAAAATTCCTACTGTTCATTTTGTAGGTTTCATCCATTGTCCCAAAGTCAACCTGAATAAACAAATCACACAATAGTATCAGAATAGTTTTACTTTCTCCCAAAGTACATATAACGATTCAATCTGCTATTTCAAGATTTTCACTATAATTTAGAATTCCATTTTTCCAAAGAATGGATGAACTCCAAAGCCATTAACCGCCATTCATTCTGAATATCTCTTACCATTTAAAATGAGCCTCCGCTTGTATGAGAAACAGCTGTACGGTGAACAAGTGGTTTCTGCTCTGATTTGAATCCAGGCTCAGCTATTACACTAAATCCAGCCTAAATAGAATGTTCTAAATAGAATGTTCAGAATAGAACATTCAATGGTTTGATTTCAAATAATTTAAATGCTACTAATTTATCTGAATGATGGGATCTACGATTAGTTTAGTGAGAATCCAAACTTTGTCAGCAGACCTTTGTGCATATTTTATAGTTTTACGGTTGTACAGAAATAGTTATTTAACAATGCCAAGATGTATATCTTGTATTAGAAAAGTAAAATAAAGTTTCTCTTAAGATCAATAGAAGAAAATTAGCAACATATCTCATGAAGTCTCTGACACCAAAAAGTGAACTGCAAATTCATTGGTCTAAATGTTTTCCAAAACAAATGTATAAATGCAGATTTATTTTGTTTGGATCTCTAAATCCAGAATTTGGGCAATCTTAATGCAGAATTTTAAGATTGATATTTACATTATGAAAAATGAATAACCCAAGCAAATTTAGATTAAAGCAATTTAGTAATAGGTATGGAATTGTAATCTATAATTGGTAAAATAGGTAGGTGTATTTTTCCCCAAAATAATATATGGAGAATCTTCTTTGCTCTCCATTGTCTTTGCACATAGAGAAGAATCATGTTTCAAAGATTCAATCTCATTTAATTGTATTTTATATTAATCTACTGTGATCTATAATACACCTATTAACACAAAAAGACATCTTAGTGGCATCTTAGTCTAACCAATTTTATCATCACATATAGGAGTAATTAAACTGGATAACCTTTAAAGTTCCATAAAAGATTGTTTTCAGAAAAGATGAACATAGCAAGCTTTCTGAAAACTATTAATTGTTCAGTTACTGCCAAAACATAAACCGAATTATAGGAGTAACTTTTCCAGTATTTAGCTATCATCATTCTTGATAGGAATAAAGCTTTTTTTCTTAGAGTTAAGTAGCACATTTTCAGTCACTATCAGGGAATGAGTTATCTGCTGAATGTTTATGAATTTAAGTGCAAACTTTTATGTTTTAGCCATCTGCCAACTTAATTTTTTTCAACAAATCCTGAATTTTCTAAATGTATTGTTCTCCGCTTGATGCAGAATTTATAGATTATATTGGAGAGTATGTGGGGGGACTATTGAGGGCGGGGCAGGGGAGAGCGGGAAGTACAGTCATACATGGATTGGAACTATCTTCCAGCAATTAAATACGTGTTGGATTAATTTAAAATTAGGCAGCATAGGCTGATTATGGCTATCCATAACAGAATTATAGAATCTTAAATTGGATTACAAAGTGTTGATTGCCAAACCTTTTGTTCAAAATTATAAACATTTCCTTTTTCTAGCAGAAGACAAATATGAGCTGTAGCTTTCTCTCTTTTCCAGAAATTTACACTATTCAAGGCAACTCTCATGGAAAGCCCTGCACCATCCCCTTCAAGTATGATAATCAGTGGTTTCATGATTGTACAAGTATGGGACGTGGAGACGGTCATCTCTGGTGCGCCACCACACAGGATTATGGCAAAGATGAGAGATGGGGATTCTGCCCCGTTAAGAGTAAGCTGCTTCCGGTTGTACGGAATTGTGGGCATATGACTCCCTAGGCTAATACTTTTCAGTTTATTCATAAGGATGGTGACTATGTGCAAATAAATGGGTTCTTTCTTTCTTTTTAACCAGATTCCACAAGAGTTTTTATTGTTTCTCCTTTTTACAGCTAAGCTCCTAAGGCTTAGGGCTATGATTTCCTGAATAATTCTGCTACTAACAAATATTTATGGATTTTTCCTGGGGCTTCTTATTATTCTTTCCTGCCACCCTCCCGTCAACTTAGCTCACCTATATTGCTTTCCTATACTTCCTACCTTTAGTTGCTACTTTGTAACTAGGCTCAAATTATATGTATGCATTTTTCTCTAGTACTTGCTTTCTTTTCTTGCATTTTATGTCTGAACCTTCCCCTTAGTAAGTAGTGAACAGTGAAATAGAACATGTAGAAAAGTGCTGTTTATATAGGCACTGGATTTATATACAAATGCAGATGCGTATACAGGTTAACTTATAACCACAGTTCAGCCCCAAATTTCTATTGCTAAAGTGAGATGATTGTTAAGCAAGTAGCACCCCATTTTATAATCTTTTTCCCACAGTTGTTAAATGAATCACATCAATTGTTAAGTGAATCATGCAGTTTTATAAGCAAACCTAGCTTCCCCCATAGTCTTTGACAGAAGCCAGCATGGAAAGTTACAAATGGTGATCATATGGTCCTGAGACACTGCAACTGTCGTAGGCTCATGTCAAATGCCAAGTGCCCAAAATTTGATCACATGACCATGGGGATGCTGTAAAGGTGGTAAGTGTGAAAAACAATCATAAGCTCACCTTTTTTCAGTGCTGTTGTAACATTGAATGGTCACTGGATGAATGATTTACCTATAGTTGTTATTTATTACTGCAATTGGAAATGGAAACTTGGTTGTTAATCGAAGCAGCCACTAAGTGAAACTGCAATTGTGCTTACAATCTTATTTCATTGTTTTACAGACTTGCTAAGGTGATAAATGTGAGGATTGGTCGCAGTGTTACTTTTTAATCACTGTTGCAACTGTGAACTATTATTGTAGTCCTCACTTAATTTACCATTTGTCCAGCCATGACAACATTGAACAAATGGTAATTATTACCAGTCCTCAAAGTTACAGCCATTGCAACATCTCTATAGGCACACAATCAATTTGGCCACATGGCAACCTGCATTTATGATCACAGCATACAACTTCTGTCATCCACCAATCTCTCTCCCATCTCTGCCCCTTTGGCTGCCTTGCACTCTGCCACCCCTGCCTCTTGGCTGCCCTTCTGCCTTCCACTTCACTGCCCATCACCCTCCGTCCCATATGTCTCCTGAGATGTCATGTCATGCCAGCAGCATCAGCAGTGGGAGGAAGATTGCGAAGGTCAGCTGGATGCAGCTGGGAATGGCAAGCGAATAATAGGTGGTGGTCGTGGTGGAGTGCACGGTGGCCAAAGGGGTGAAGGGGGAGTTGAAGTGGAGGCAAGCATGGTAAGAGGGCAGAGCCTGTCTGCAGAAGGATGCTCTCTGGGCCTGGCTGAGGAGAATGCAGCAGGACAGAGACAGCAATTCGTGCAGGCCAGGATAAGCATGTGGTTCTCACCTAAAAATGGCACCAACTCTTGCTTAATGACTGTAACCAGGATTACCAAAACAGTTGCTAAGCAGTGCAGGCCCATGAAGTTTCCCTAAGCTTAGTGACAGAAATTCTGACACAAATTAGGATTGTTAAACTAGGACTATATGTTTTACAATAACAGTGAAAGCTTAATATCAAATTGAGCACTCAAGAAATGTATCTTTCTATGCAGTTGCTGCAAACTTTATGAAAAGTACACATAAGTTTATACATTGTACATTACAGTCTTCTGAATCCAACAATTCTACCTTGCATTTTCTTTTGTTCTTTTTTCACATGATTATTTCCTAGGCAACCATGGCCACACAACTTAACAAGCTGTAGAATGAATTTCCAAAAATGCGTAACTTTTCTTGAATCCATTTGCTAACTAAGGTGAGTACATATTGTGTTAACTTGGAGTCACTTCCTTTTTGTCTTGTCCTCGTAGGCAATGACTGTGACACATTCTGGGACAGAGACCAACTCACCAATAGCTGCTATCAGTTCAACTTCCAGTCCACCTTGTCTTGGCAGGAGGCTGGAAAGAGCTGTGAACAGCAAGGGGCTGGCTTGCTTAGCATCACTGCGATTCATGAGCAGACCTACATCAATGGTAAGCATTGGGAATATTTCCTTGAAACAGGTTCTCCTAGTAAAAGGGATGGAAATTTTTTTTTGCTCTGCAGATTGGCATGTTTACCATGCTTTCAATTATAAAGACTAACAATAAGCCTTCCAATACTGATTGTTTGTTGGGTGTTCTTTGGTATTTTGATAAAATGAATATCAATACGTGTGTGTGTGTGTGTGTGTGTGTGTGTGTTGTGTCACAACCCCTGGTATGCCCAAATATGGGAGGGAGCATACTGCTTCCCTTTTCTGTCTAGCGGCTCATTCTGGGAGCCATCCAGGCAGAAAGCCATTTTTTTAGTAACCTTGTTACATTTGTGTTGCATTTGTGCTGATAAATAAATAAAGGGAGACTAGTATAGATCTATTTCAAGCTATTTAGCTCTCATCAGCTAGCCATGCCCATACCCATACAGCCCAGGTTCGATTCCCAGTAAGGGTATGGCTAGCTGACGAGAACTAAATAGCTTGAAATAGATCTATACTAGTCTCCATTTATTTATCAGGACAAATGCAATATATGTATGTATGTATGAATTTGAATTTGAATTGAATTTGAATTTCCTTTATTTGTATGCCGCCCTTTTCCCTGGGGGGACTCAGGG